GGGGGGTGCTGGCGGTATAAAAATTCACCAGTCACCCCCAGGCGAGTGTTAAGGTTACGTACACGGAGAACGCGTCTACATATAATGCATAATGAGTATAAGCGATGTGTGGATACGTGTACATGATGACGATCCCCAGTCGGCATGACAATTCTATTCAATTTCTTTTAAAGTGTTTTAACACACCTACTGACACAATTATTTTGATAATTTCGGAGGCAGGCTTCCGCTCCTGTCTGTCCTGCTCAACCCGGACGGAGAGGGATGCAACATCCCAGTAGAAAGAGCGAGATACTCGATAAAAATTCCCCACTCGGAACTGAACTCGGGTCTCCTGAGTGCGACAGTGAAGCGCCTAACCGTTACACTACAGACGCCAGTCATCCCACGTAAAATGTAGCTGCATTCCATGCTGTTGAAAATTGGAAAAGTTAAGAGTTTTTCGTGAGTTTGCCCTAATGCTATAAGCTATGAAGAAATTTCCTGATGTGCGCGGGCAGTTTCCTTCTCCTGCCCACTTAGGAGGCGGGCAGCTTCGACCCTGGCTGTCAGGGCTAATCCGGACTGAGAGAGATTCTACGTCCTTTCAGAAATACGGAGAAACTCGACAAAATTCTCAACACATGGGAATTGATCTCACGCCTTCAGCCTGCTACAGCGGAGAACCTCACCGACACACCATAGGCGTCGGTGAAATGATCTCTGGCATGCATTGTTTTCTTATATATGTTTTTCCTGCCACCCAGACCCTTCTGAGAAATTTTTTGATACATGCTTGTGCCTTCGTAACTAAACAGAGCCTGTCATCTCTCTTACTGGTACAATGTAATTCTAATCACTGCATGGGTGTAATGCCTCTTCCAACACTGCTAGGTTACCTATGAGGCAGGACTTCAGAATCAATAGTCTGTCTCCGATAGGGCCGAGTCAAGTAGGCGGAGAGCCCTGAGAATACCCCCAAATAATTCAAGTTTAAGATCGCCCCACTGGGGGTTCAAACAAGGGTCAAACAAACACTTCATTGCACAGCATGGTACTAACTGAACTAACGGGGCGACCCTTCTCTGATTGCCCGTACAGCAGTCAAACTGACTCAAACTGTCTGGGCAGCGCCTCGTTAGCTGGACACTCAGAAGGAGAAAACATTCACAGTGCAGCTGTTCAAGATGACAATAATAGGTGTAGTATTTTTGTATAGCGCTAATTCCTGTTCAACGGAAAGCTCTGTGCACTTTACAATCTATTATTATTCCAGCAAACCTGATAACATCCTGAAACAATCTTAACTTCCTGGGAAGCATTCAGTGAAAACTGCCATTTTACAGGCGCTAAAACACTAATATAATATTGACAAGATCTTTCGTTATTTATGGCCGGGGCCCTTTCCCACCTAGGTTAAGTCGTGAGGAATATTCGTGCAAAGTGCTTTTCCAGATGATACAACGTCGGGCTTCAGACTCGAACCCTCAAACTCCGAAGACAACCGACGCCACCACTTATAATCTACAGAAACTAAAAACAATACAGCATTCTGAGGAAGTGTGACCCTGCACGCCAACACATAGAAGCCAAGCACCGGTTTACTCTTGAGTTTGACTTCAAGATGTTTATATCGATTTTACGGCACTTGCAACACAATACGGTCAAATAAGTGACGAAAATTGGATGTTTTACAAGAGAGTAAAAAATACAGAAAAAAGAGAGAAAGCCTAAGGACAACAGATGTTTAATAGAAAAGAAAGTGCAAACGACACCAGAGCACCTACCAACTAT